CTCCATTTGCAGAAATGCAGCCCCGAACTTGCAAGGAACCTTCACTATGCTTCACTGTTCCTGCAGACACTTATTGTTGTACCTCTCTTCAGCTCTTCGCAAACAAACTACCTTCTGCTACAGCCAAATATTTGAAATTTTGACTCATCAGGCAAGAGCACCTGCTGCCATTTTTCTGCAGTCCAGTTCTGATATTTTTGTGCGTAGTTGAGTCACTTAGCCTTGTTCACATGTCAGAGGTATGACTTTCGTGAAGACCACTTCTGACCAGACTTCTCCAGACAGCAGAGAGAGAAGGAGGTGTGAACTAAGTGTAATATAATAAGCATATACAGTCATGGCCGAAATTGTTGGCACCCTTGATATTTTTCCTGAAAATCAAGTATTTCACACAAAAAAGGTATTGCATTAACACATGTTTTGCTATACACATGTTTATTCCCTTTGTATGTATTGGAACAAATATAAAACAGAGGCAGAAAAGCAAATATGACATAATGTCACACAAAACCCCAAAAATGGGCTGGACAAAAGTATTGGCACCCTTAACTTAATATTTGGTGCACACCCTTTGGAAAACATAACTGAAATCAGTCGCTTCCTATAACCATCAATAAGCTTCTGACACCTCTCACCCGGAATTTTGGACCACTCTTCCTTTGCAAACAGCTCCAGGTCTCTCTTATTGGAAGGACACCTTTTCCCAACAGCAATTTTAAGATCTCTCCACAGGTGTTCAATGGGATTTAGATCTGGGCTCATTGCTGGCCACTTCAGAACTCTCCAGCGCTTCTTTGCCATCCATTTCTGAGTGCTTTTTGACGTATGTTTGGGGGTCATTGTCCTGCTGGAAGACCCAGGATCTTGGACGCAAACCCAGCTTTCTGACACTGGGCCCTACAGTGCGACCCAAAATCCTTTGGTAATCCTCAGATTTCATGATGCCTTGCACACAGTCAAGGCACCCAGTGCCAGAGGCAGCAAAACAACCCCAAAACATCATTGAACCTCCACCATATTTTACCGTAGGTACTGTGTTTTGTTCTTTGTAGGCCTCATTCCGTTTTCGGTAAACAGTAGAATGATGTGCTTTACCGAAAAGCTCTATCTTGGTCTCATCTGTCCACAAGACGTTTTCCCAGAAGGCTTTTGGCTTACTCAAGTACATTTTGGCAAACTGTAGTCTTGCTTTTTTATGTCTCTGTGTCAGCAGTGGGGTCCTCCTGGGTCTCCTGCCATAGCGTTTCATTTCATTTAAATGTCGACGGATAGTTCGCGCTGACACTGATGCTCCCTGAGCCTGCAGGACAGCTTGAATGTCTTTGGAACATGTTTGGGGCTGCTTATCCACCATCCGGGACTATTCTGCGTTGCAATCTTTCATCAATTTTCATCCGTCCACGACCAGGGAGATTAGCTACAGTGCCATGGGTTGCAAACTTCTTGATAATGTTGCGCACTGTGGACAAAGGCAAATCTAGTTCTCTGGAGATGGACTTGTAACCTTGAGATTGTTGATATTTTGCCACAATTTTGGTTCTCAGGTCCTCAGACAGTTCTCGTCTCCTCTTTCTGTTGTCCATGCTTAGTGTGGCACAGACAGACACACAATGCAAAGGTTAAGTGAACGTCTCTCCTTTTTATCTGCTTTCAGGTGTGATTTCTATATTGCCCACACCTGTTACTTGCCCCAGGTGAGTTTACAGGAGCATCACATGCTTGTAACATTCTTATTTATCCGCAGTTGTGAAAGGGTGCCAATACTTTTGTCCAGCCCATTTTTGGAGGTTTGTGTGACATTATGTCGAATTTGCTTTCTTTCCTCCCTTTTTTTGTTTTGTCCCAATACACACAAAGGGAATAAACATGTGTATAGCAAAACATGTGTTAATGCAATACGTTTCGTGAGAAATACATGATTTCCTGGAGAAATATCAAGGGTGCCAACAATTTCGGCCATGACTGTATAATGGAGTGAAAGACAATTGGCACCTTACACAGACAGTTAAAAGAACTTGATCATCAATAAGTTAAGGCCTCTGGTGGTAACCTTCAGCATAACAGGACACCTAGGTACAAGTGAACACAGTAGGTGGACTGATGGGTAGCCTGTAGAGCCAAGAAGACACCCCAGGAAGTGCCAGACTAAGTGTAGTAAATTATAGGCAGTATTAGGTGCATGTAAAATAGCAACTTAGATGGTACATAAGAAATGGGGCTTTTTATCTATCATTATGGTCAGCAGCTGGCTCTGACATGTGGAGTATAGAGTCTCTTCTGTAACACTTGCAGCCTTGCTGTCCACAAGTAGGGCCAAAATCTGGATTTAATGGAGGAAACAGAAATCAAAAGGATTGCCCCCAGCCTCCTTTGGGATGCAGACTAGACTGAAGGGATGTCAGGGGAGCAGGGCTAGATGTTTCAAGGCCACCCAAGCCTCTTTCTCAAGCCAAAACCCTTACTGCACTTAGCCTGGTGCCCCCCTGATGTGTCTTCTTGGCTCTACAGATTACTCCCCAGCCCACCTAGTGTGTTTGCATGTACAAGGTTTCCTGGTATGCTGAAGATTACCACCAGAGGCCCTAACTTATTGATGAGCAAGTTCTTTTAACTGTTTGTGTAAGTAGACAATTGTCTTTCACTGCAGTAAATTTGCTTTATATTACTTACATCATGCCCCCTCCTTTCTCTATTTGTCCACCCAGAGCCAGACGTCACGAGCAAGAGTCTAAAAGCTCCAACAATACCATCAGATACATAGATCGTCAATAGGCAAATGTATTTCCATAAAGTTGAATTATTGATACAGAAAGCTGACGCGTTTCGTGGGATAAGACCCACTTCCTCAGGGAATTTAGGAAAACAAAGTAACAGTGCCTATAGTGAAATAAAAAAATACAGAACCAATTAACAATGAAAAATAAAACATAATAAGCCTTATTCAGAACAGTCATCCTGGCGCAACTGTCAGATAGTGGGAGCCAGCGTCTAGAGCAGAGCTTTTTTTTTTTCAGGTCAGCGGTGACAGCGGGCATTGTGATTGATTGACATTGGATCTATTACTGTCCCAAAGTCCCCCCCCCCCCCATGTTGAGGGCATGTGGCCTGGTATTGTTCAAGATGGGGGGGGTTGTCAACCCCCCTTTCCTGACCTGCCAAGCTGCATGCTCAGATAAGGGTCTGGTATGGATTTTGGGGGGAACCCCCACACCAATTTTTTTTATTTTTGGGTGGAGGTTCCCCTCAAAATCCATAACAGACCCAAAGGGCTTGGTATGGATGGGGGGGAGCATGTGTTTTTTTTTTTTTAATTTGTTAATTGCTGGGCAATGCCGGCAATTCTTTTTACATTCAGCTGTCAGCGGGGAACCCACCTGACAGCTGAAACATGAAAGAATGTGTTTAAGTAGCTGTGCGGCATGTTACCACTTACTCAGATGCAGTAAGATACCGCTTAGTGAACTGTCCCCTCTGTTCGAAGTTTGCAGTCAAACGTTCGTATATTCGAATGTTCGACCATGAACTGAACAGGGGGGTGTTCGGCCCATCACTACCTGTGACATGAAACTGTCTTCCACAATCTTACCTAAGTAGCAGAGTTTGACTGTTCCTCACCCAGTTGTGAGACTCCTACACAGCTGTTTCTATTTCAGTTAATGACTGTGTTTCTAGCTACATGTGGAATTGATGATCATTAGTACCTGCCTGGTATTATTGGGTAGACATACATCTGACTCTAATCCTACAAATTCCCTGTGCAAGTGTACCAAGTGGACAAATGTAAGAACTGACGCTGGTGTGAAGTCAAAGGGAAGTCACACCAAATGTTTATTTGATTTAGATGTTTCTTCTGTTCGCTCACATTGCATTCTCTAAATTGATAAAAACAGACAAATTAAAATAAAATTTTTGACAGCATTCTTACTTTGCGCCTGCCTAAAACTTTTGCAAAGTACTATATATATATATATACTGTGTATATATATATATATATATATATATATATATATACAGTGGTCAGCATAAATGAGTATATCCCTTTTGCAAAGTAAGATTTTAATCAATATCTAAATGAACAAGAACTTTCTTGTTGACAAAACTGAGTTTTATAGAACATTTGTTTAGCTCATTACATGAAAGTAGGTTACTAATAACTAAGATCACAAAATCTTCAATTTTACTCAAATTAGTTGATGGAAAAAGGAATGCATTCCACAACAAACACTACTACATCTAGCATTGTGTATGACCTCCATGATTTGTAAGGACAGCACCAAGTCTTCTAGGCATGGAATGAACAAGTTGGTGACATACTGCAACATCAATCTTTTTCCATTCTTCAAAAACGACCTCTTTTAGAGCCTGGATGCTGGATGGAGAGTGATGCTCAACTTGTCTCTTCAGAATTCCCCATAGGTGTTCGATTGGGCTCAGATCAGGAAACATACTTGGCAACTGAATCACTTTCACCCTGTTCTTCTTCAGAAATGCAAGTGACCTTAGATGTGTGTGTTGGATCAATGTCATGCTGGAAAACTGCACGACGACCAAGGCCACGGAGTGATGGTAGCATCTTATCTTTCAATACAGAGCAGTACATCTGTGAATTTGTGATACCATCAATGAAATGCAGCTCCCCGACACTAGCAGCACTTATGCAGCCCCAAAGAAGGACACTGCCACCACCATGTTTCACTGTAGGCACCATGCATTTTTCTTTGTACTCCTCACCTTTGCAACGCCATACAGATTTGAAGCCATCAGTGCCAAAAACATTTATCTTGGTCTTATCACTCCAGAGTACAGAGTCCAGAGTCTCAGTAGTCTTCTTCTTTTTCATCATGAGCCCTGGCAAATTTTAGGTGGGCTATTTTGTCCATGGGCTTTAGGAGAAGCTTCCTTAATGGACTACACACATGCATGCTAGTCCTCTGTAGTGTACTCCGTATTGTGTCACGGGAAACAATCACCCCAGCTTGGCTTTCTATTTCTTTAGCTAACTGCAGTGAACTTGAATGGCGATTTTCTTCAACCCTTCTCATCAGAAGATGTTCCTGTTGAGTGTTAACTTCCGTGGACTGCCTGGACGTCTCTGTGAGATGGTTGCAGTTCCAGCTTTGTTAAGTTTTTGTATCAGTTTTGCTACAGTATTATGACTGATAAGTAAAGCTTTGCTTATCTTCCTGTAGCCTTCACCTTTTTTGTGTAAATTAATTATTTTCTTTCTCAGGCCTTGTGACATTTCTCTTCCATGTGGTGCCATTGCTGAAAGCATGAAATGGGAAGGCGTTTTCTTTGTTAAGTAACGCCCTTTTATAATCAACTGGTTCCTCAAGCTCAACCTCTCCAAAACCGAGCTCCTCATCTTTCCCCCTGCCAACACCCCCCCCCCCCCATCCTATCCATCATCACCAACAACTCCTACTATCACTCCCGCCCCGCAAGCCAAAGTCCTTGGCGTCATTCTTGACGCGAACCTCTCCCTCCAACCGCATGTCAAATCACTCACAAACACATGCAGGCTCCATCTTCGCAACATTGCCAAGATACGCTCCTTCCTCACCCCAGACACCACTAAACTTCTAGTACACTCCCTCATCATCTCACGCCTTGACTACTGCAACTCCCTCCTCACTGGCCTACCCAAGTGCAGGCTCTCCCCGCTCCAGACCATCCTGAACTCAGCTGCCAGACTCATCCACCTCACCACCCGCTCCACCTCTGCCACCCCCCTCTGCCTCTCCCTCCACTGGCTCCCGATTGCCCAACGCATCAAATTTAAACTCCTAACCCTGACCTACAAAGCCTTTCACAACACTGCCCCTGACTACCTCACCAACCTGATCACCAAGTACCACCCTACCCGTACCCTTCGCTCCTCACAGGACCTCCTTCTATCCTGCTCCCTGGTCTCCTCCTCCCATGCACGACTGCAGGACTTCTCCAGGTCCTCCCCCATCCTCTGGAACTCACTGCCCCAATCCATCAGACTGTCGCCTTCCCTATTCACATTCAGGCGCTCCCTCAAAACCCATCTTTTCAGGGAAGCCTACCCCACCCTCACCTAATGGCATCCAGTGTTGCTCTTTTGCAAAACTTCAAAACGTGCATCCTCCCTCATTCCTCCCACCACTTCATCCCCCTCAGCCACTTCCTACTGTACCTTTACCCCCTCCCTCCTAGATTGTAAGCTCGTAAGAGTAGGGCCCTCTTACCCCTCGTACATTGTTTGTTGTTGTTGTACTGTGCCATGTATTGTCCCCCCTATTGTACAGCGCTGAGCAAACCCTTTGGCGCTATATAAACTCGTAGTAATAATAATAATAATAATAATAACTGTCTGCTGGACACCTGTTTAATGAATAATTAGACTCACCTGTAGTTAATTAAGATTTTGTTGTCTACAATTTAGCTTTGCTCCTAAGACTTTCATTGGGGTGTATTCATTTTTGCAACATGGTCTTGAATGGATTTTTAGGAAAAATACTTTTTTGTGCGTGCAAAGAAACAAATCTTGTTTGCAATTAATGGCCCGCATTTATGGGAGCATTTTGTAGTATAGTGTCCCATAGAAAATGTTGATTTATGAAAGGAAAGTTAAGGTTACCTGACAAATCTGTTGGGGTGTACTCATTTATGCTGAGCAATATATATATATATATATATATATATATATATATATATATATATATTCTATGTGTCAAACAGCTTTCTGACTTCTCCTTGACCTATATAAAAGATGTAAAACGCTTTGAAGGCTATGAACACGAGCACTTTTCAGAAACTCTATTTGTGCAGGCATTTCTCACACAAAACAGCCACTCACATTCTCATTATATACAAATACTTGTATGTTGACTAATTTGTTTTTCTTGTAGATTTCTAGCAGGTTAGTGCTGCTTATTGCCATTACTCTGAATTCTCAGCTTTAGTCGTAAGAGCTTCATGTTCTGTACGCTGGATTATTTTTCCATCCCCAGAAGCCCTGGCAGCTCAGGTGCTTTATATTTTAAAAAGATTCTGAAAGGTCAACCGCTATAGCCGGGCTCCTGCAGCAGGCTTTCAAAATTACTTTTAAAGAATGACTCTGATCTGATGGAAAATGAAAAGTTGTTTTAAAAATGGGAGCTGTTGAAATGACTACATAGAGCCAAATAACATGTAAAGAAAAAAAGAGAGTTAATAAAATTCCTATTTTATATATATGTATATCTATCTATCTATCTATCTATCTATATATATATATATATATATATATATATATATATATATATATATATATACAGTATGTATGTTTGGACTTTTAGGGCTGTATGGTCAGTATCAAATGTCGGAGCCTTGTGATTGGTCACAAGTTATGACCTAGGCAGCAGTATGGGCTGCAGTTATGTGGGAGTTATTCATTGAGAAGCTCTTGTTTCTGTTTGTGATCAGAGCACAGAGCTGCACACATGGCCAACAGAACCAAGAGCTGTGGATCCATGGTAGCTGTGTTATGCCATATAAGTGCTAAAGTTTTATTATTGCATGTCCAGGAGGACACAGGAATTCAGTGAATTCACATATCTTCTTTAAAATAAACCTGTCACACACATGAACAATTTAAAATACCAATTGTATGATGAAAAATGTAGATAAGCTGAATTTATCACCTGTTAAAATTGCATGTATAGGCAGCTAAAAATTTTAGTATATGCCAACCCTTCCTGCCTTCCAACAGGTAAACAAAGCAGCCCATTAGATTAACCACTTGCCCTTCTGAGGATTTACCCCCCTTCCTGACCAGGTCATATTTTGCGTTACGGCGCTGTGTTGTTTTACCTGACAATTGGGCGGTCATGCAATGCTGCACCCAAATGAAATTTACATCCTTCTTTTCCCACAAATTCAGATTTCTTTTGGTGGTATTTGATTGCCTGTGCATTTTTTATTATTTGCGCTATAAAAAAAAAGGCTAACAATTTTGAGAAAAAAACAATATTTTTGACTTTTTGCTATTAAACATGTCCATTAAAAAAATTAAAAACATCAAATTTCATCATAAATGTAGGCCAAAATGTATTCTGCTACATGAAATGAAGAAATGCAGCGCAACAATATATAAATTAATATGGTGCTAACAATCTAATACGTGCGCAGGGGCAGACTGACAACTCATGGGGCCGCCGGGCAATAGGGGATCATGGGGCCCCTGTGTCCTTGCCCAAACTCAAAAAAGCCTATGAAAAAGGTACCAAGGGCATCTGATGGGGCCCCCTACTGACCCCGGGCCCTTGGGCAGTGCCTGAGTTTCCAAATGGTCAGTCTGCCCCTGTGCGTGTATAAATAGTGACAAAGTGCTGTGCTCGTGAGGATCAATATATGCTAATCAAGATGTCTTCCAATGCATACATATAAGAAGCCACAGAAACTGCACATAGCCAGTGCTATAAATAATTAGTGCATACACAAAATAAATAATCCTTAATAGTGATCTGTCCCTTTAAATCCTAAATACCATTACGTGGACCTGTGTGGTACACCTCCTGTATATAGTGATCCAAATACACCAACAAGTGTCATCTGGATATAGTCTCAAAAGTGGTGAACAGTCCCTTTAAATCCGCTGTACTTCAAGTGGACCAGTGTAAACACAATACTGCATAAATGTGTACGGTGCTCCTGTGTCACCCCTTAGTGTTCCTCTACCTCCAACACTCTATTGCGCTCACCTTCAAGTTTGACCCATAATGACAGGTCGAAATGCTCTTTTCCCTTTAACCCGGGAGGGTATAATAGTACACAGGTCTTCACCACCGTTAGCCAGCACTTTTCAGCAGATCCAAATCGCTCCATATCCATGTGAAACAAATGCTCAATATAGTGTAGTATTTCCACTAAAAACAGCCTTTATTAAAACAATCTAGTTTAATTCACATTAAAATGTTTCCTGCTGGGACACTACAGGGTTGAAAACTCACCATACAGTGTTTTCTGTCAAATGTATGCAAAAATCCCTCTTCCAAAATGGCGGCACGTGCACTTCCGGTTAACAGCCTGGTCGTCACCGGCGTACCCATGGATTCTGTTACATGTCTTTGCTAAATAAAAATCCCAATACGTGTAAATTAATTGGTTTACGTGAAAGTTATAGCATTTACAAATGGCGATATAGATACTGGAAATTTTGGGTTTTTTAAATTATTTTTACTAGTAATGCTCAGTAATGATCAGCGACTCATAGCGGGACTGCGGTGGGCATTCTGACACTGGGTGAATTGACTTGGTGTCACTGACCTCCCCAGTGACACCAATACAGTGATCAGTGCTAAAAAAAAAGCAGTGAAACGGTACTAAGGGCACTGGGAGGAAGGGGTTAACATGAGAGGCGATCAAAGGGTTAACTGTGTGCTATGTGCTGTTTTACTTGCATCTGTGTCTGTGTGATTCACTATAAGCACACTGCTTTGCATGGCTGTGCTGTGCACAGCCATCCAAAGAAGTGTGTGCGAGCTGACAGAGAGGAGAACTGTGTTGTTTACATACAGTTCTCCTCCCCATCGGAGATGCTCGGCAATCACCAGGTGCCGGCGACTAATCACCGGCCAGGACCCGGTGATTGACAACCACTGCCACGAATGGCGGCGCTGGTAGGGCGCGAGAGCGCCCCCTACCCAGAAATGCGAAATCACGTGTACACGTGATTTTGCGCACCCGTGTCGCTCTGTAGCAGTATATCTGCTATAGGTCGGTTGGGAAGCGGTTAAAAAAACCCAATAGGGTGATTTGGGAGGTTGGGTGCGTATGCTTAAAGCAGAAGTCCAGTCACATACTATCTAAGCTTAAACCTGCTCCCACCTCATGCAAAGCCCTATGCTAACTACCCTGTAAAGGAAAGATGTCTATACTTACCATTTCTGAGGGCGCTCTTGTCCGGTCACATGATCGACTCCCATCACCTTCTTCAGTGTAAAGGAAGGACAGCTGACAATTGATGCCCCATAGTAAACCTATAGGTGATATCACAACCCAGGCTCTGCAACCATTGTTGGTGATCACTCCTCTTCACTGATGCCAGCCACTGGAGAGAACACTTGACTGGCCCGGAGTGCCTTCAGAATTTGTAGGTAGAGAGACATCTTTCCTTTACAGGGTAGTTAGTATAGGGCTTAGAATGGGGATGGGAGCAGGTTTAAGCTTAGATAGTGTTTACCTGGACGTCCACTTTAAAGGGTAGCTTCACTTTTCTTTAGAAAAAAACAACCCCCTCTGGGTGATCAACTTACTGTGCAAGGATTTTAACAAACATACCAACGTACATTGTTGCAGGTTACTGCCTGTCTCTGGCCTGGAGAAAGAATTGTTTGTTTCACTGAGTCTTTGTATACGGATTCTGAATGAGAGATACTAATTCATTTTAATCAGCTGGTTCTATGTTCTGATAAGAAAAGCTGCAGTGTCTGCATCTCCTTAGACCCTTAGAGAGTAGCTCACCAAAAATAACATTTTTGTTGCATAGGATGGCTAAAACCAGTTTTGTAACTTAGTGCTGAGTTCTTCACTGTAGCAAAAAATGACATTTCGGGGGGAGTTCAGTACACCAAATGCATATAACAAAAATTAGCACTGCATTTTTTATATACGGTTTAAAGGATCTAGGGGTTATATCCTTATGCTAGCTGCTCTAATTTTGGAAGCGCTCGCTTGATTTAAGTACACCAAATGTGTACAGAAGGTCTCCAGGTTGCCATATTACATTTAATTTTACAGAAATGACAGCACTGCAGTTTGAAAAAGAAAAGTCATTTTTAATAACAATAAATTACAGTATGGCTTGTGTAGCAATTAAAGGCAGTATAATATCTGGCACGTGACCAGGACCAATAGCCCAAAAACAGCCTGATGCATAATACAATCAATAAATAAATAAAAGAGTCCTTATAGGTCCTTATTTATTTTACAAAGCTCTTAAAGGTCCTTAGGTTCCACAAGTTCCAATAAAACACAAATGGCAGCCATCCGCAGAGTGTGACCAGCTCTGTAGGAAAGACAGTAAGGGAAAAAAAGGAGGCGCCAACAAAGTGCAATATGTACGTAAGATGCTTTATTGCAAGTGGTTAAAAACACTCACAAAATAGCTGAAATACAAGAGCTTATCAGGTAGTGGGTCCTCCACTCACTCCTTTGCAGGGTCTGCTGCTATCATCCAGGCTGGGGAGATGGTAAAGTGTGGACGGGATGCCCTGTGGACATCAGAAGGTGCACCAGAACCAGCATAGAAGTGACATTACTGGAAGGAGGAGAGGATTGGGATCAGTGTCAGGCTACACGCTCAGAGCTGCTTGCTCCTTCTAGAGGCCTACTAGGTGCACT